ACTAAGGTGTCCAATAGGGTGGAATAAAAACGAAAAAACTACCCTCATAATCAAATTTTCAATCCTATTTGCGGAGCCTGTAGACATTAAAAAAATGTTTTTTTTCCATAATCAGGAGACTAATCTGTAACTTATTTTCTATTAGAATTCAAATATCAACATTTCTATTATTTCGTTCCACCCTAGTATCCAATATTTAGAACTGGACACCTGTACTCAGAATATACATTAGATCTGTAAAATATTTGGTGGGGGAGCAATGATAGAAAATAAACTATAATAACATAATTATTTTATGTTCAATTTAGGAGAATAAATTTAAATTTAAGTTCAAAATTAAACCACAACCACCAATTTCTTAAAATTAAAGACTATCTACAGATTTGCATGGAAGCGTTTCTTATAATAGTGATTATAATCACTGTCAGATATCATCTAAACTTTTTTTTTATGGAACTATTTATTTAGTGGTAATACTTGTTATTTCAACCTGATTAACTGGTAATATACACTCTATTGAATTATAGAAACAAATAAAAAATTAATTGTAGGCACTTTGAAAAAAAATGAAAAAAATTTCCTAAAGATATTTTGAATACAAAATAACAAAAAGGAGATATAATAGGAAAAGAAAATATTCATGGTATTGTAATTAATTACTGAAGAAATAAACGAGATTTAAGGTTTTTATCTACAAAACAAAGGGTTGAAATTATAAGTACTGATAAAAAGAATATAAATTGATACAACGAATTATTGCATATTATTTTAAAATAATATTATGATATAATTTTAATTTTCAAAGAAAAATGTCATACATAGGTAATTAGTTTTGATTTTGTCAAATCGTAGAATAAATATGAGAGACACTGATAAATCTTAACATATAAAATCAATTTAATTTACTCTTTGTGTGACATGAGAGCTAACTATACCTCTCAAGACGAAAATGAGATAATCATTATATTTATGACATTTTAAACATATTTTATACTTGAAATTTTTTTCTATAACAAATGGTTCCAAAGATATAGCCTTTTTATACAGGAAAATGATTCTATAAAAAATCTATAATACAGCAGTAAAGACATTGTGTGAGTTATGGTCATAATCATGATATAAAATAAAATATTTTTAAAATCAGATCTGTTAGCCAAAAGTTTTAATAAATACATTAGTTATCTATTATCATAAATTATTACTATTGTTGTATTATTTAAAAATAAACCAATTTTTTAAATAATAAAGATAAAATCAATAAATTTATTATATAAATAACTAGGCTTCTCATTTTCTCAAAAACTATTGAAATTTTTAAATATTTGTAAAGAGAAAAATTGTTTAATTCATAATACTCTACAATAATTTGTGTAATATATATATAATGATTATTTTTTGTTATATCTCTTCAGGGTTAAAAAACTTAATTTTTTTTTACATGATATCCCTTATTTTTAATTTGATAATATGAAAGAAAAAAATACAATTTTGTTGTAATAATATTTTTAGCCCTTTATCGTTTGCATTATAAAATTTGGATTTAATGAAAAAAATTATCATTGACTTGGTTTTCTATATATTTTAAGAATACCAGTACACCGGAGTTAGAAATCGTTAGTTTCAAAAGGTTATATATGATTTTAAATACTTTTAAACCATTAACTTTCTAGCATTGCTATTTTTCAATTTGTATTTTATTTGGAAATGAATAAATAAATGTAATATCTATTCTTTAGTAGTTACAAGTCCTTGATATTGTAATATCTTAAAGGCGTTATAGGATACGGCATAAGTTTCAATCGTCTTTACAAATCAAATTTGGCAATTAGAAATAAATTTCTTCTTAAAGGATCAAAGCATGCTCTTTATATGAATATATGACCATTTTATACTGAATGGATTTTGCAGATAGGTTAAGCCAATAAGTTTTCGAACCGTTTTGATATTTAATTAAAGTTCATCCAAGCTAGTAAATTAGCACTTATCAATTTCAACTGGCATGTGGCTTAAAAAATACAATGAATCAATCGAAACAAAAGTACAGTAATGAAAAGTGTGATATTTCACATTTCATACTGATATTTATTAAATGAGCTTTTGAAAGAACTCGAGAATGAAAATAAGAGGATTAATAATTTCCATTGTTATTATGATCGGTAAAGTTTTAACCGGAACAATAGACCTAGCTATTGTATTAATGGGCAAATCTGTTGTGCTTGAATTATATTATTCTTAGTGTTAAGGATGGAGGCGGATAAGAACAAAGACGGCCAACTGTCCAGCAGTAATCCTTTTTTGGAACGATTTGATAAAAGGAATAATCAAGTTAAGGTAGAGGTTACGACTAAGCAAATGGAAGTTTGGCCTCATTTTCGTTTTTAATTACTTACTTTTGAAACATTACTCTCGTTTCCATTTTTGCATTTCATTTTTATAATTTAGCAGCTGGTCCGAAATGTGTTAAAATACGAATTGATTAATTACATCTTTTATAAATTATTATATTTTTGTGTTATTTCAACTTATTTAATTTGTATATTTAATAAGTTTAATTAATTTAAAGTCGCAATGAAATAAAAATATAACATTGATAACATTTGTTTCATATTTATTGTATGATTACTTTTTTAAATGCAAGAATTATGTAAAAATAGTAAAATAAATCACAACTTTCAAATATAAGAAAATGCTAAAACAAATGAAATGTTAAAGGTATATTCTTAAAGTTATTGTAAATTTGTCAAGTAACAAAATAATTGTAGTAAAAATTATGTAATTAAAAAAAAACTAAGAGATTGTATTTATGTTTCTATAAACTTTTTTGAGCGGAGTACTAACTATTTAATAAATGATAAAAAGTAATGTAATCTCCTTAAAAAAATTGTTTTTTTTTTATCATACCTTAACAGATAGACTACTGTGATGTTATTTAAACGAATAATTTATTATACCCAAATAAGATTTAACAGTTTAATTTATACGTTCAACAATTTAAAAAAACTACAATTTATCTAGAATCCTTAGTTTAAAGAATCAGATTTAAAATAAATAAATGACAAAATGACTAATACGTCATTTAAAATAAGCTATGAGATTCAAGAAAATGATTTTTTATGAAGTTAAGTAATAGAATTTCAAGTAACCTTATATTATTTACGAAATAACTCAAAAAATTACGAAAAGGTATTAGAAACTATTTTTGTTTCCTGTAAAATAAATAATATGCCTAAAAATTTTTAAATTTTTCGTGTTTTAATTTTGTTGGAATTACTTTTCTTTGTTTTAGTTTTATGTTCCTTGAAATCATCAATTTGAATCTATAATACAAAACAATGTATGTAGTATCAACACTGTTTTTTTAATTAGTACTAATTCATATAACTTTTGTTTCTTTCCATTGAAAAATAGTATATTTATTTTTAAAATTTAAAAATTATATTTCAAATAATATTTATTTGTATGATACAATAAACTATTGATAAACTTGTTTTCTATTTCGATAGACTTTAAAAATCATTGACGAAGTAAGAAAATAAAAGTACTTTTAGTTTTGAATAACAGTAATGATATTGCTGTATGTATATATTTTACTCAAAGGCATAGAATATATTGAATGTTACACATATAAACTACAAATAATAAATAAAAAATGTATGTACAAGTCTTACGAAAAACTTTACAAGTATAAATTGAAAGAGATAGCAAATTGTGATTATGATTTGTATGTCTAACCAAAATATATTTTTAATTTTTCAATGGAAAATCCAATGTGTTTATAAAAAAATATCAATAGTTATTGGAAGGTTGTATTTTATTTAGCAGGATATATAAAATATAAAAATATTATGTATTCAAGAGTAGGCATAGTGGAAATCAAGAAATTATAATATGACATAGATTATAACCATTTAAAACGGATCTAAATATATATACAGGTGGATCATTAAGGTTAAAACACTCATCATCTCGGTAACTATTGAAAATTTTTAATTACTGGTAAGGAAAACATTGTTTGATTTAAAAAACTCTACAATAATACCGAAGAATCAATTTCTTTGAAAAACTCTACACGTAATATAGTTTATAGACTTTTAAAATAATCGAATATTACAATAATGTTATTGTAATCATTGCTTACACAAAGTAATTAATTTAATAGTCAATTCAGTTTTCTAAGGTTATGTTAAGTCTTATTGAATAATGAACAAGAATTGTTAATCACGCGTGTTTGTATTACCGCGTCGAATTAGTATTTAATTCAATACAGTTTATGAGGTTATGCTACAACTTTTAATACGTATCTATCAACAAAAATAAAGATTACTTTGTGTAAGCAATGATTATGATAACATTATCGTAGTATTCGATTATTTTAAGACTCACTATATTAGGCGAAGGGTTGAGTTTTTTAAAGAAATTGGTTCTTCAGTATTACAGTTAGTCTTACAAACTGATAGACTGTGCTATTAATAATATAGTAAAGACCCGATTTGAATCTAATATTATTATTATAATAATAGATAATTATGGTTAAATTAGTGTGTCGTAAATTATTATTGCTATCTTACTTGTCATATCTTGGTCAATAACAATTAGTGTATATTACACCACAGAAAATGAGTGAACTCCTGTATTCAAAACAGTAAAATAATAATAGAAATTTAGTCCAAAATCATTTAACTTTAACAAGCTGTAACAGACGAACGGTTGATCGGAAAAATTATAAGAGCAAAGTTGTTTGTATTTTTATATTAAATCATAATAACAAATTCAAAATAGGAGTTCCCATTTAAGAAAGTTCAAGTTAATGTTTTTTAACCTTGAAGGGATGAAAAAAAATTATGTTTTTACTACATATTATTGTAGAGTTTTTTGAATCAAACAATATTTTCCTTACCAAAAATTTTCAATAGTTACCGAGAAAATGATTGTCTATCCTTAATGAATCATTCTGTATACAACATTTAACATAAATTTCTTAAAATCGTTCATTAAATCTGTTCGTGTCCCTCTGCTTACACAAATATATTGTTTTAATTAGTTTAACGTTCCTCTAGCTATATTAACTCTTATAGAATTACAGACTCAATAGGGGTCCATATTGCTGCGGTCACCATTTGGACAGTTTATTAATCTACTTCTCTTTAAGCATACAACAGCCACAACGGATTCGAATTAAGACAAAGACATTATCACGGTAAATAGTTTTTTTAATTAAATAAATCAAATGACTAAAAACTTGTATATTATTAAGAAATATTTCACCTCTAATTTAAATAATATTTTGTTATTGGTTTAAAAAATTGGCTTTACTTAAATATGTGTTAAATGTAAATATAATATTTAACGGTATTTTTGTGTTTTAAGTATTTGCACTTAAATCTAATAATAAAAAGATTTCAACAGACATTTATTTAATCATTTGTAGTACAAACTATTTAATGTTATATAGCCTTGTATAATATGAGATTAAATACATTTGCATTTATCACCATAAAACTGAAATGCAATTTGTTACTTGAGCAGTTTCGGTTTCATCAAAGTAACACGTTTGGTATAGAGTAGATATTCTATAACGTCCGAAAGTAAGTCCATGTTCTTTTTGACTGTAAAGTAGTTTGGCCCATAACTATTGCGGAGTTCTTTTTGCAAATTGCCAATTACTAGCCCATTAGGACTAGAACAAATACAATCCGAAACAAACTTCAAAAGCGACTCAAAACAACGTGCATTAGACATGATTTGTTTTTTTAATCTTACAGTTATATTTGTAAAATAGTTTTACTTCAACTAAAATGATGTATTGTTTATTTATGAAACCTTAGTGATTTATATATTAGTAATATATTTTCGTTAATTTAAATAATTGAAAATAAATAAAATTATTGTTGAATGCATTATAAAATATTTGTAAATTCATAAATATTTAAACGAATTGATAAAACATTAATAACCCTAAAATATAATAAAAAATCTTATATTTACTCGTAAACTAACGTACTCTAATGAGTATACAATTTAAGGCTTAGATTTTCTATACTTGTAACGTATATTACAATCTATAAGGAATTACACTATTTTAACCTAATTATTTATTATTTTTTTATTGACATTATAATGAATTTTATTTATTTAAATGTTATATGTTGATAATACTAATTTGGTAATATTATTATGTTTATTTTAGAGAGAATAGTGTGTAAGGTAAGTATAAATTATTGATTGACAAGTATAAAATACTGGAAAGTAAAAATGTTCATTACTCTTGGCAGATTTTAAGTTAATGAAGTGGAAGTTAAGTGATACATGATAGTTATTACGAAAGGAGCAGAAGTTCGATAGAAATAAATGAAAAAATAAAATTTTGAAAGAAGAAATAATACAATTAACAAAAGTAGAATTAATTTTCATCTTATCGTATTATTTGTAATATCCCTTTTCTGCCAGACGATTCGTCTAATTCAAAGAAGGACTAACATTGATGGACATTGATTAATGCTCATGTAAATTTGACTAAATAAACTTAAATAAGTGAATTAGATATCCCATTAAACGGAGATTTATTAAGATCATTTGTTGTCAGATTTCTTTTTCGTTATTTATTTTCAATCTACTAATAAATATACGAGTAATTTTTGAAGGAAAAAACAACAGTTTTGATCAATTATATTAGTATTTAAATCAATTAATAACGTTTTTATATTTTAATATATAATATATAATTTATACAGTTATGGATAATCCACACAAGAAAAAATAATTCATTATTTTTGATATAAAGTTTTTTGATGTACCTAAAAAACGTTTTTATTAAAATATTACTATTTCTTTCTATTAATTTTTCATCTCAAATGTATACTAATCCTACTAAAACATGAAAAATGTTAACAATTATACTAATAATATTTTGTTCATTTGACTTCTAAATAAATAATTGTACAATAATAAAATGTCAAAAGTAATATATTTATAGCTTATTATACTAAACTGTAGATATTACTTTGAATAATTATAAAAAATATGGTGTTTAAGTTGTATAATATTAAGTTTCGTAAACATCATTTCTTTTTTTTTTTAATAATAATACGATTATTTTAGGATATTAAAAAAAATTAAATAATATTTTAAAATAGGTTTTAATATTAACAATTTGCTAAAAAGAAAATTTTATTTACTTTAGAATTGATAATATAACTTCATGAAAATAAATTTGATAAAATTAAATATGCATTTACAGCAGACATTGAAATTAAAATAGCTTTATCTAATTTACAAAATTAATTACGGCAAAGACAAAGTGTACTTTAAGGACATTGTGATTTATAAATTAGTTCCTTGTTTATTACGAGAAACCTAAGAATCCACTAAATATAATTCTAACACTAAAATTCAGAAGTTATCAGAAATTTAATTAGCATAAACAATTAATTATCAAAAGCATAAAATTAAAAATTAAAATTTTTTTTTAAATAAATATAAATATAAACTATATATTTTCAATTTTTAATATACAGTGCAGCAGTGTTTACTTATATATTATTTTTAAATTTAAATGAAGTAACTTACGTTTTAGGGCTAGAGCTCATAAAGTAGTATCTTTGACATTTTTGTTAAATTTCCAAAAAAAAAAAAAACGATTAAAATAGAAAAGTTAAAAGTGGCCTATAAATTTTCATTTGTTTTTTTGTCAACGTAACAAAATTTTTTTTTTTAGATTAATGATTTGTATAGCAATACAAAAAAATTGGAATATTATAGACAGGTAGTAACACACGCAAATATAGTTAAAAAATTAATAAATTATAAAATAAAATAATTTAATTTTGTAGTTAAAACCTATTATCATATCAAATCTAATTCGACAATGAATACTTTGAAAATACTAGAAATTAATGAATTTAATTGTCAATATGGAAAATATGAGCTAAGTAACTTTTTAATTGATAAAGTGGAATTTTTTTCAATTTTTAAGGGTAATACCTTTAATTAGGTAATAGTTGTGATTATTTAATGTATCGTGAAAAAAGTTAGTCAAATGCGAGCTGAGATAATAAACGAGAGCTACAAAAAAAAAATCACATACTAAAACAATTTTAATATGAATAAGAAATTTCTTCAAACGGGATGAGACTACAGTGATGGGGTCAGAATGAATATAGTACCCGGCGGTATTCGTTAACGTTCGTGGTTTTATTTTGTTTAAGTATTTGGCTATGTCGAGGATAAGGAATAAGGTGAGTGGACTGTATAAATGAATGTATAATAAATTTTACAATAAATAATTATAACAATTAAATGTATTATACAAGAATCATAAAATCTTATACACCAATGTAGATAGGGGGGACACTCAATACTAATGCCACAATGGCGCTGATATAAACAAATAATAAATTATAAATGTGAGTAAGTATTAGAAAGAAGATGAACAAGCGTTATACTTATCGGCTAATTGAAACGGCTGAATATTGAACGGATCAATTTAAGTTGAATGCAAGTAGCTGACCAACGTGTACAATATGCTGTGAACGATACGGTGATGTATCTCATAAAATATATAAACCAAACGGCGATTTATTGAGCACACAAGAGTGCGAAAATTGCAAAGGTGATATTTTACTTTTACAACAAAACGAATCAAAACTACTAGCTCGCAAGCGTCATAGAGATTATAGCTAAAATACTCTAAGATGGCGGTGACAATGCAAACATAAAGAGAAGATCGACAACAACTCGGTATAGCACAACGATAGCATAAATAATCACAACACAATTTCTCGACAGCACATTTGACTGTTGTGTATCCAACAGGGTCTTTGATATTCATTGATTTTATTGTGTATAAATGAAATAAAAATCAATTGATTTAAACATTTTTTCTAACTCAAAAACTTATGTAAGATATTTTAAAATAAAATAAAATACAAAATTAAGAATTCCAAAACAAAAAAAGCATATTTTTAAATATAGTGGCCATTTTCATCACGAAGACAAAATAAAGTTCCAAATTTTTTTTTTATAATTAAGTATATTACATAAGCTTTAATTTAAGATATATATATGTGTGTGTGTGTGAGTATGAGTTGTGTGTGTGTCAGTATTTTCGTAACACTTTCAAAAGTTAAGTTTAAAAAGTTAGATTTATAAAAAAATATACACAATGATAAATCTCATGTATCTATTAAATAAATTGTATTAAACCATATATTTTTCAAAAAGTTATGGCAGTTTTAAGTAAAAAACATTGATAAAATGTCGAAAATTATCAATTTTTAAAAATGTAATTTTTTTGGATATCTCCCCCATTCACGGTGAATAAAAGACATTTTTTTAATTTTTAAGGGTAATGTCTTCGACTATGTATGATTTGTGATCTTATGATGTATCGTCNTCTCCCCCATTTACGGTGAATAAAAGACATTTTTTTAATTTTTAAGGGTAATGTCTTCGACTATGTATGATTTGTGATCTTATGATGTATCGTCAAAAGAAATCGGTTCGGTAAGAGTTGAAAAAAAGGAGTAACAGACACAAAAAAAAAATAAAAATAATAATAAAATAAAATTACATCATAGTAAAATTATACGTTCTCAACTTCGCATCGAAGCTAACATTAGTTAACTCTGATGAGTCCACTTTTATTTTTATTGATTGTTATTGTTTCTATATTATAATATTATTTATTTTTATTATTATTTTTATCCATTAAAATTACTTTTATGAAAAATGTACTACATAAAATACTAGTATAAGTTTGGGTTGGGATATAACACTTCCCAATCGTTTAAAAATTTAAAAGGTATATAAGAAATACAATTTTATTACTTTATCATGAAATATTTTGAAAATTACATATTTCTTCTAAATTGTACACCATAAACTTTCAAAATGTTTCCCCATAAAAAAACTGCATCTTAATTTAGATGACCGTTTAGCAGAAGTTAATTTCATATTTTTTTCTTTCTAAAATTAATCTTATTTAAAACTGAAGAAAAAATATTTAAAAAAACTTACTTAAGAATAGTAATTGGAAAAAATTAAACGGTGAATTCGTATGATTCAAATCTTTCTTTAATTATTACTGTAAAAATTTGATCAAAATTATGTAGTATTATATATTTTTTTAACTATAGCATTTAATTTATTAATTAAAAAAATGAAGTATGACTCAGTTACAATAATCGTCAATAAAAAAATTTCTTCTAATATTATAAAATTCTTTAATTTGTTAGTTAGAATAACAAATCTATCTAGTTTTAGCTTTCGTGCTATGATACCATAGTATTACAAAATTACTATCTCTTCAAACTGACAAAATTATTTCTGAAATTAAATTACTAATTCATATTAATACCTTAGTATATAAAAAATATTGGAATTACAACAGATAATGTTAATATATCCCTTACTTAGGGATAAATTGACATATTTACTTATGTTTTAGTAAAATATGTAATATTTATTGCAACTATAGAAAAATATATAATTATTACATCAATAAAGTTTACAATGTAGAATGAGTAATTTTAAATTTAAAATAAAATATTTAATATTACGTGTATACATATTCTAAATGATTTAATAGGTAAANTTACAATCACATTTAAAATAAAATATTTAATATTACGTGTATACATATTCTAAATGATTTAATAGGTAAAATATCTAAGTGTTATTAGCAGTATCCCACTGCTAATAACCAATATTTATTGATTATTTCTATTTTTTTAGGATAAACAAAAATTGAATTTGACATACCGATCGCATTTTTATCAACAGTATGAATTATATTCCTATTATGATAACATGTAATTTATTCACATTAAACTATCCAAAAAGACTAATCCATTAATTTAACTCATTCTTAAAGAATTCGCGATATTAAAATATAAATATGTTATATTTTTCACGAATATTCGATACATGATGTCAAATTTACAATATTTATGTGTAAATCTAAGGTGCATTTTAAAAATACCATACTGACGTATAGAAATTTTTGGTTTATTTTTTAGAGTGTATAATTATTTTATTATACAATTACTATTACTCAATTACTTTAATATTAAAATATATAGCAAAATCAATAAGAAACTGAAGTACTCAAATTGATATATTAAGCAAATATATTTACTCTCAACAGATTTTTTTATTACTATACCTCTCAATTACTTTTAGGAATAACATGAAAATCCTTTTAGTGTTTATTATATTGTCTTTAGCATACAATCGACGCGAATCATTTTTTTCCCGACAAAGTTGAATTTTACATTAGTAGATTTTTTGCTTTGGATTACATAAACTGTGATTCATACAAAAGAAACGAATCTCAAGAGTACTTATCTTATCTTACCTCCAGAACAACTCTTTGTTAATATGACTTTCTAATAAAGCCAGCAGTGAACAAAAACTTAGTTTAACCCGATTACATCCGGTTTCGTTAATGTAAGAAAACATTAAGTTGGAAAAAATAAGAAAACTTTGTTCGAGCTCGCTTTAAGCTTTGTCACGTTAACCGGATTAACATTTTTTCCATTAGTACATGGAATATTTTTTCGATTTAATTTACTTCCTTATTTTTTTTTAACTGTATTACATTGACACACCTTTTGTAATGTGTGACATCATGAAATGGAAAAGGTTGCTATATCATAACTAAGTGATGAATGTGTTTTATAATGATACAAATTAGTATAATGATCAATTATTTTTTTTTTTACATAACTAAATTTTAACTCACAATTTTTATGGATTTTTTATTTTTTTATAGGCTAGTTAAATAGTATTGACAATAAATAATACTGCACGTGTTAGCCATGTAAAGTTAGTATAATTGTTTAGTTATACTTTAATTGCCTACGCTATATTGTAATTAATATGAATGTTTCATCAACAGAATATGATGGATAAATGTAATTCAAAGATAAAAATGATAATAGTATTGTAAAATTTTAGTCGTTAAATCCGCGTATACTCATATCCTAAACGTCTCTACAAGATTGGTGAACACAGAGTTTATATTATTAAGTGTTATTACATCAAAAGGTACGCAGACAACAAAACTGGTCTGTGCATCGTTGTTGGTCATCCATCATTTGATTTTCCTACAAAAGTACACATGTATATTAATGTTTATATATATACATATAAATTCATCAAAACAGAATATCATTTACAGCAGCCTTTTGATAATTTATCATCATAAATTCAGACTGAGTGTCATCGTTAAGCCTAAAAATAATTCTTTTTGATGTAAGTAAAATAATTTTTTTTGCTCGGGCTCGAAAACTTTTAAAAAAATGTCAAATACGCAAAAAGGAAAGTGACACTATAATATTCCTTAGTTTTCCATATTTACAAAAAAAACATTATATTTGATAAGAAATAATAGTATTTGGGTCAATCACTTGTCGGAAAAACTCATTTTAATTAGTTTAAAAATGTTTTGTGTTACTCAGTAAGTTTTATTTATCGCTTTTGTATCTATTAAATTTATCAAACCCGACAAGAAAACAGGAGTGGTATTGTATAGCTGCGAATGTATAGATTAAATCGAAAATGCTATAGAATGATCTTATTTAAATAAGATAATTACGAAAAAAATATGTATATAATGACGAAGCCAGTTTGATAATCAATCTCTACTGATAGCATTTATGTCAAAGTACTATTCATCGTGGAAAGTGTTTCAAATAAATAGTAAAGAAATGTTATTATACAGAGTGTTCAGTAAGTAAGGAAACAGGTCAGCTATTCACGGAAAAAAATCATTATTGTAAACGGTCAAAAATTATATGGTTAAGGAAGAACCATATTTAGCAAAACCGAAGATCTTAGTCGATTATTCTTGCAAGTACGTTTAGTTGGAATAACTGAATCGATCCGGTTGGGAATTGGAGTAGTATTAATCTATTGAAATATAATAGCCATAATATATGTACAGCTGTTAATAATGAATCTATAACTCAGTTGTAAACCAATGAAACCATTAAAACGTAAAATAGCGTTAAGCGCTGGTTATTGTGTTTAAATGGTATTATGATTTATAAAATTTAAGCTGTGCTAAAATTGCGCTTTCGGTTGTGACGAAGACATATATTTGAAGATGTTATGTGATCGTATGGCGCGAACATCTGTTCGAGGTTGGGTTGGATTGTCCCGTGGTTTTGTTTCCTGGTCAGCTGAAAATTCGCCCATAGTTATCTTACGCGGAAGCTTACAAAGACAACAAATGGGACTACCGATAAATAACAATTTTACACTTATTGTTATATGAGCATTGAAAAAGACAATTCCGATTTAAAATCAATGAATAATTATTTATATTAGACTATTTAATTAAATATTAATAAAAATAATAAATTTAAATAAAATTTGAGTCATTAATTAAATACTATATATAATGTTAAAATAATAATTTATAACGTTAATATTATAATTATGCATGACTGAATAAGAGATGAACTGAGGTGATTAGATCTACCAATTTTGATACAAATGTCAAAAGCAGGAGAAGTTTTTATTATTCGAATTTGTCTAATCTATAAATTTTAGTTAAGTTGAGCAGACAATAGTTCTTTGGTTTTCTATTTAAATAATTTTCGGTGTTTTTTAGGCCTACCTCAAGTAGTTGGGATTAAAGCGAGAAAAAAGAAGAAGAATTATTGGTTTTGTCATTAAGTAGGTTTTAAAATTAACTACTTCATAAAATCAAGTGTTTGATTTTTGGTATGTACAATAATGTCATATTATTAGTGATCATTTATATATTTTACACAAAATACTTTTAAATATTCAAGACAAATCTGTGTCGTAAATTCCTGTAATGACTAAATACACTAATCATTAAAATTGCATCGTTATAGTTGGAATATTATTTTCAAAACAAAATGCATAAAAATTAATATGTTTAACAATAAAATTTGTAGTAATATCCATAACATAATCAATATAATATAAATATTAACATATAATATAATTTTAAAATTTTGTAAAACATAACTTTAGTTATGTTAATAACTATAAGTTATAGTAATCATAATATATCAACCGAGTTAGTACAGTAGTTTCAATAAAAATGGTAGGCTGTCNAGTAAAACTTTACAGAATCATTTATAAATTTGCATAAATCGGCATCATGATCCTAAAATCTGATACCATAAAAAAAATTTTGTTTTTAATTATAATATTATGTTTAAAAAATTAAATTTTAGAAATATTCAATGTGTAGCTATAATATTGACAATAGAGAAAAACTACGGACATTTTCGGAATTATAACAAATAACCTATCTAAAAAAAAGTATAGTACAGTTATACATTAACATGTCTTTTTCTTAAAGTATCGGTCCATTTCAGATGTTATATTTATTTGTATTGGTTTTGACACTTAAAATATGATTGAACTCTATAATAAGTTTATACTATTTTATTATTACGACTATAGTATAAAATGGTTATTCTTACTATTTATAGATGGCTAAGGTAACCCATAGTGTATATTTATAGTAATCATAATATATCAACCGAGTTAGTACAGTAGTTTCAATAAAAATGGTAGGCTGTCATAATGATAACCTAAGTTCTGGATTGGGATAATCATATAATCGTTTATTTCAAACATGCTTATTTTCCGTTAACAAACGATGAGAACCATAGAAACCTGTATCTTACTTACTAAACATTTATATACCTTACCGTCAATGATAATTAAATGTAATGTATATTTATGATAATAATTTCACCTGAATTTGTTTTTTCTTATTTTTATAAAATTAATTTTTAAATAATACATTTAATTGATTTGATTTTAATAAAATTTTCTATTTTCTATTATAAATTAAATATTATTATAAAATATTACCAAGAAAACTTCAAAAAATTATTTTTAATACTAAAAATTAATAAGCTTTTTACACTCCATTATATGAGCTTATGCTACATTTACACCTATTATTATAAATTGTATTTAATAAAATGTTAAAACAATTTTTTCTTGTATCAAATGTGTTTGATTTCATTAAAGATTTAATATTAATTTTGACATCGACTATAAATCATCAATAATTTTTAAAAAGTAATCATTTACCCTTTAAATTGAATTCCATAGAAAAAAACGCAGCACAGGGGGGTCGCGGCATAGTGGTGACGAGGCATAGTTGGATCAAGTATAATAATATCTGACAGTGATTAAAATCACTATCAAAAAAAAAAAACGCTTCGATACAAATCTTTAGATAGTGTTTAATTTTAAAAAATTGGTGTATTATTCCAAAAGCTGCATGATCTGCTAGTTCCTTATTAATATCCTGATTAAGATAAAGTATGTCAAATGAAAAAGAGATTATTTCTCATAAAAAAATNAGATAAAGTATGTCAAATGAAAAAGAGATTATTTCTCATAAAAAAATTGTATTGATCCATACATTTTTTAAAAAAGAAATTATATTGATATAATCATTTTTGAAAAAGTTACGGCAGTTTTTAGTAAAAATAATTTCGAAAATTAGCTATTTTTAAATTTGTAATTTTTTTGTAGGTTTCCCCCATTTACAGGGAACGAGGGAAATTTTTTCAATTTTTGAGAGCAATGTCTTCGACTAGATACAATTTGTGATCTTTTGACGTATCGTTGAAAGAAAGCCGTTCGGTGAGAGCTGNGTAAGAACCTTACATCAACAGACACAAAAAAAAAACAAAAAAACACATCATAGTAAAACTAATACCTTCTCAGCTTCGCATCGAAGCTAAAATGCATCTCTATGTAATTGAAATGTTTAACATTTTCAAATATTTAGACATTTTTTTTATTGATATGGACAATATTTTAAGATTTACAAATAATTATTAAATAAATAAAATTAGCCACAAGTGATAAGTTTTTATTATATAATTATTAAAATAAATACTTGAATGAAGATAGCTAGATATTATACGTAGAACAACTTACAGTTATAAGCTATTAATTATTATTAATTTATTATTAATATTTCAGCAATTATTTATTTTTCTTTCATGTTAAGAAATCCCTTCATTAGTAAAATTTTAAATGCCAGATTTAAAGTCGAGAATGTAGTTTTTGGACAACCAAGATATACAAAGACTATTATCATTTTCTAGTTTTAGGTAAAAACGTATATAGCTAAGTTTATCTCGCAGATATACTTTGGGTTTCTACTCTTGCCTCAACATTATCGTAAAAAATACACTCTTTATCAAAAAATGTATAAATAACTTTATAGATTATCGCTTAACCTTTCCTATCACATAAAGTATTATTTTAACTCATTTCACATTAATACTAGATTATATATTTAAAAATTTTTCATATTGATACGACCACAGCATTGTCACCCATGTGACATCCCCCGGTCACGCCAGTTTCTTCTCAGCCACCACCCTGCCGTAAACCCCACCGTTATACAAACGCGTTATTGTTGTTGTGTGAAGTCCAACAAATGCCTTAGCGTCAAATACCTGCCGCAATATTTCGCTCAGTCAGTCATCTTCGTGATACCACCAGCGATTCGTCGTCCGTTTTCTATGTAAAAATATAGAACTATATTAAAGTTACTAGATAATTGAATAAATTACTTATTAAAATTTGTATTATCTATTTTAAAATGGATTTTAACTGGATTTTTTGTTTTATAAATATATGTAAAAATGTTGTGGTATTATCTATTATTTATGCTTTATTTGTGCTTCATCGATTTCGAAAAAGCTTTTGACATGGTGAGACATGAAAGACTGTTTGAAGTTTTGCAAAAAATTGGTATAAATGGAAAATATCTACAATTCATAATGAATTTGTATTGGCATCAACAAGCTAATACTAGAATAAATAATACACTTTCTAATGACTTTAAAATTCGAAGAGGAGTTCGACAAGGGTGTATCCTTTCGCCATTGCTTTTCAATCTATATTCGGAAGAAATAATGTCGGAGGAGGGCAATGTTATAAACGGGAAAATTATAAATAACTTGAGATATGCAGATAACTGTGTTGATAGCTGGCAGCATCGAAGACCTGTAAAAGATATTGGACAGAGTAGTAACAGCCAGTGAAAACTTAGGCCTATATTTAAATGTCCAAAAAACCAAATATATGATAATCGATAAGGAAAAAAGCCTGATAAGTGTGTTTAGACTTAACAATGTCGCCTTAGATAGAGTACATAAAATTACTTATCTTGGACAATTATTGATAGATAACTGGGATTATTCGTACTAAATAAAATGTCGTATAGAGAAAGCAAGGGCGGCTTTTATGAAAATGAGAAGTATATATACTGTAGCCATCAGCTAAGCATGAATCTCCGAAATAGAATGATTCATTGCTATGTATTTACCGTACTTCTTTATGGAGTAGAGTAGTGGTTTTCAACCGGTATGCCGCGACTATTGATAGTTTTATAATTTTGTATTTATCAGTATTATTATAGATATACGATGAAAACTGATAACTAACAAACATAAACACAGGTTAATCGCTCATCATTAATTGTAAATACAGATAGTACTGTAATAGTATTTAATATCAGTTTACCCATCGCAGCCGTCTCGACCGTATTGAATTTTAAATAATATTTTTTATAATGGATGCATTTATAATTCGTTCACTTGATAATACTTCAGTGAGTGAACCAACGAAGAAAAAAACTAAATTAAATATCAGACGTCAATATAATGAAGATTATTTAAACATAGAATTTTCTTGATCCAGAAATGTGGATGATCCTCGACCATGGTGTCTTATATGTGATGAAAAATTATCCAACTAATCAATGGTTCCAAGTAAACTAAAACGTCATTTTTCCACCAAGCATTCTCATTTGGTTAATAAAGATGCTTCATATTTTCAACGTTTACTAAAATCAGAAACACAACAATCTGAAATAATGGCAAAAATAGTGACCATTTCTGATAAAACTCAAGCAGCTAGTTATCTAGTAGCAGAATTTGTAGCTAAATAAATTGTAATGTTGCAGAATTTATATCAGTTTTTAATAAATCTTATCAGTTAATAGTGTGTGCATTAGGTATTATGTATGTCCCCAATTATAAAATTAGCTTATATACCAGTCAACCGATCCAATGGTCAGTACCTGGTTTGTTGTGACAGTTGATCGCACACAGTGCATCCCTACACTCTTATATTCTCCCTATGAACCAGTTCAAAGTTGGCACCCCCACCACCCGGCGACATCATGAACATCGGCCACTATTCAAATGCCGCGACAATGAATTTTTTTTCTCATCTATACTACCGAGGCGACAAGTTGTCTGTCCGTTTTTTTTTTTTTTTTTGTGAAAACCACGTTTTTTTGTATTTTTTTTTTTGTCCTCCGTTTTTTTTTCTAATAAAATAAAACGTTGAGTCGACCAGCCATCAACCAGGCTGTTAATTTTATTTTTTTTGTCCTCCGTTTTTTTTGTAAAATAAAAACGTCGAGATGTCAATGATGGTGGTGATGTGAGGCGCAACTATGGCCGGTGGTAGGCCATCACTCTTCAAGCTCAACAGCAACAAGTATAACGTGAAACCCCCCTGTTCTACCCATTATTAATATTGTTAATATAGCACTTCTTTTTTTTTGGCTGAAACCTTACAAAATGAAACCTCACACTATAGCAGAAAAACTTATTTTATATGTTTGCTGTGAAATCGTAAAAGTAATTTTTGGTGAAGAAGCTGAAAAAGAAGTATTAAAAATTCATGTATCTGACAACACCATTAGTAGGCGTATAGAACACATGTCTGAAGATATTGAAGAACAAGGACTGCAACAATCTCGTGACTCTCCATTATTTGCATTACAACTAGACGAGTCAACTGACATAAGTGGGCAAACACAACTTTTGGTTTTTATACGCATAGTTGCCAACGAAGATATCGTGGAAAACTTTTTGTGTTGTAAAATACTTCCTGAGACAACCAAAAGCGAAAACATTTTCGAAATCGTGGACCATTATCTGAAATTTGCCAATTTACCACGGGATAAATGCATTGGAGTATGTACCGACAGAGCTCCCGCGATGACTGGCTCAGTCAAAGGCTTTATTTCTTTTCCAATTTATTTATTATCTTTACCCATTGTTTTCTACATAGAGAAGCCTTTATGACAAAAACATTGGTAGGTAATTTAAAGGAAGTTTTGGATCAAGTTGTGAATGTGATAAATTTTATTAAAAGTAGTTCACTTAAATCGAGATTGTTTGAAAAAATTTGTGAAGGTATGGATTCTGATAACTTCCAGTTACTCTTTCACAGTGCAATAAGATGGTTATCAAGAGGCCGGGTTTTATCACATTTTTATGATTTGAGTGAAGAAATAATTGCATTTTTGACAATAGAAGAATCGAAATACGAGTTTCTTGGATATGAAAAGTGGTAGACTAAAGTTTCTTTTTTAACTGATATTTTTGAACATTTGAATAAACTAAATACAAGTATGCAAGGTCGTAACGAAAATATCCTAACATCATCTGACAAAATAATGACTTTTAATGAAAAATTAACTCTGTGAAAAATTCAAGTTGACCAAAAAAAATTGACTATGTTCCTACGAACTGCAAGCGAAATGTAGACACCAGTCTCATATCGTTAATAAGCGAATCTATCGTACTACTAAAAGACAAAATAACAAAATACTTTCCCAGCATAAATGTTGAAGCCTATGACTGGGTGCGGAACCCATTCAGTGTATCAGTTGGCGAGGTAATTGGTCTGCCATTCGTTGAAGAAGACAATCTTATTTCACTAGTAAATGATCGAACATTGAAGTTAAAATTTAAAGAAATGACCGTTATCAAATTTTGGATTCTGTCAAGCAGAATTTCCTGAAATATTTATAAAAGCCATACAAATTTTACTACCATTCTCCAAACTAATATAAGTATGATAAAATATTTTATTACATATGGTGAGAATTACCATAACTTGTCGCAGTAGCCGTAAGCAATGACAAGAAATTGAATATAATAAATTTATTAACCTTATTTTATTCTTTGTTATAATCTGATTGATAATATTATAATAATAACCGATGAGAAATAAACACAAGTCTCTTTTGTTTTTTAATAACGTATTTATTACGTATAATATATAATATTATATATTACGCACTTAAATACACGAATGTCAATATAAGATAATACTGTTAATCGCAGACTGATCTGCGGCCGCCGGGCTCGATTTGTATTTATGTTAATGTGCAGTTTAGGGATCTAACGGTGAATTACCATCTTGATCCAGGTGATATCCAAATCAGTCGAATGGTAATACCCCGACCGCATCAAACTCACGCATCGTTTTTACTGCTGTTTCATAGACTTTAAAAAAAAAAAATAGTTTTCCTATGTACCAAGGTTTTATATTTAAAACCTATATCATAGAAAAAAACGTCAAGTATAAAATTTCATAAATATAACGAATATCTCATTTTTGTATTGAGAAATATAGGTGATTCTCGTGTCACACAGAGAATAAATTGAATTGATTTTATATATTAAGAGTCACCGATGTCTCTCGTATTTATTCTACTATTTGGCTAAAATCAAAATGTGTAATTAACATAATTAATATTACATAATGTTATTTTAAAAATGAATTACCTATGTATGTATTTTTCTTTGTAAATAAGTTCTTGTCTGATATTTATATGTGTTAATGAGTAATTTTATTATATAGAGGCAATACCTAATAGCAACTGAAATGCCAATATATAATACCACCTAATTGTTTTCCTGAGGGTACCAAAGTGTCTAGACATCTGATTCGATAAATCAATCCCATGTTTTGTAGGTAAGAACCTTACATCTCATTTATCTTTCCAGTTACTAACTACTACACCATAGATATTTTCTTTGTCTACTATATTATGCATTCATAATTACTTTAAGAAAATTCTTTCATTTTTTCTCAAAGTGCCTACAAAATGAGTATTATGATTTAATAAAATATGAGCGATAAGTTTGTATAGAATTTATAAACTATCAAAGTTTGTTCTTCAATATAAAGAGAGGTGCTGTGGTGCATGTTGTTTGCTGACGATATAGTGTTAATAGGAGAAAATAGGGAGGAAATTAATCAAAGGCTAGAGATGTGGAGATCAGCTCTTGAAGAAAAGGGTTTAAGAATAAGTAGAAGTAAGACAGAGTATATAGAGTACGAGTTTGACAAAGGAGAACACGAGGTAGGTGAAATGAGGAGGTCAGTGACAATAGGCGTGGACGTGATTAGTGAGGTGGAGAGTTTTAAGTATTTAGGGTCACTTGTGCAAAAAAGTGGTGGTATTGACGAGGATGTAAGACACAGAATTATGTACGGGTGGTTGAAGTGGAGAGAAGCGTCTGGCGTCTTATGCGATAAAAGAATTCCAATGAGGCTGAAAGGTAAATTCTACAAAACTGTAGTGAAATCAGCTATGATGTATGGTTCAAAGTGTTGNAAATCAGCTATGATGTATGGTTCAAAGTGTTGGGTGGTTGTTAAGAAAGTAGAGCAGAGAATGAATGTAACAGAGATGGGAATGCTTAGATGGACGAGTGAAGTGTCTAAAGAAGATAAGATAAGAAATGAGCATATAAGAGGGAGTATAGGTGTAGCGTCAATCGTGGATAAGATGAGAGAAAATAGACTCAGATGGTTTAATCATGTTATGAGAAGAGAAGAATCGGAAGCTGTAAGAACAGTTGTAGAAATGAATGTTTAAGGAAGAAGAGGTAGAGAAAGACTAAAAAAGAGATTGAGAGATGTTATTGAATGCGATATGAGGACATCTGATGTGAGCGTAGAGGATGTGAGATCGTGTCAAGTGGAAGTTTAGGATAAGGGTGTACCCAACCCCAAGTAGTTGGGATTAAGGCGAGGAGAGAAGAAGAAGAAGATCACAGTTTTTTCTTTATTTGTATAATTTTCGAAGAGTGATATTACAAATTTACCAACATATGTAGTATTAGTACATGTAGTGACTATGGAATGATCGAGAATTTTCGCGACGGATAGGCAACACAAAATGCATATACGCGCGAATGTTCTCGATCGCTCCGTAAGAGAATTTTCTAGAAATCAACACAATATAAAACGGCGCGACGTAACAATAACGTCAATCAGATAGTTAACCAGTCGTCAGTTAATCGGTTAAGTAGTTAAGTACACGTAGTGCATTAATATAATTTTTATATAAATTTTCTTAGTGTTTAAACAATAAACCGTCTACATTTTTTCTGTTATATAAATTAGTGTTTTTATTTATTTTAAATCAATAAGTGAAGCACTAAAGTACATACATAAAATTATTTAAGTGTTTTTCAGAATAAATACTTAAATTGTTTTGTTAAAATGGTTTTTCAAATGTGTACTCCGCATTGCCTCACAATTTATATAGTTTAATCGCATATTTTGCAGCTTTAATGTATTTTTATAGTAATACAGCAATACAGGATCTCTAGAGATGTCGCGGTATCCAAGTTAGGTGAGCGACAGCGGCGAGCGTGCACAAATCCGATTGTAATAAAATAAATTATAATAATTAAATTAATAATAGAAGATAATATTGTCGGAATTAAGTTGTAATAATAAAAAATATAATCTGTAGTCAAAAAATGAGTAGCCGCGAGCGTGGTAAAATGTCAACATATATCGACATATATACCCGTCGTTATATATTTATTTAATGAAGAAGAATATCATCGTTTTTGTTTACACCCGCGCGCGCCGCATACCCGTAGTAGGCCATAGGGACGTTTGTGCTGATCAGGCACTAGTGTAGTATTAAAATGCTAATGTTGGTGAAGGACGAATAATCTGTACGTTACAGTTTGCGCTCCCTCGGTAAGATTCGTCTCTGAATATTCTAAAAGAAAAACAATACAATGAAAAGGGAATTGGTGATAAATCACATAGATCCTGAAAATAAAGGTAACGTTATTGGTTGATCAAGGAGGTACAGTGTCATCATAGAACAAAACCACTTGTTGTTTTCGATGACCACACTCTTGGGTTCACAGGCTTTTGAGCCTTGGAGGAGTTTCTTTCGGTCTAGCTTTCAATAGTCAGCTACCCAGTGGTTCCTATGAGAAGCTCTGCCTGTCGTCGGCTTCATGATAAGCTTTGGAGCACCAAAGTTTGACAACCTTTTGTTCACGTGGTTTGTGCAAGATGGACAATGTTTAATTGCATTTAAAAATGATCAGGGTATAAGTCGACAGTGTAAAATTAACCTGATGCATGTATGTAAAAAAGAAAAATAATAATAATACTAANAAAATTAACCTGATGCATGTATGTAAAAAAGAAAAATAATAATAATACTAATAATGTAGGTATAAAAATAATAAATAATTTAGTTAACATTTAAAATGTATTTAAGTTACTTTAATCTAATGTAAGAAGTCAAAACGTTGTCAAAAAAATAGGCTTACATTTACATAGGTGCCTTAAGTTATGTTAATCATACATAATTAAATGTTTAATGTATAATGGGCAATTGATTTAAGAAGAAAAAAAAAGTCATCTCATTCGTAAAAGTCATATCCAGTCTATATGCGCGTAATGAGAAAAAAAATTATAATAGTGAGTTCTTGAAGTAGCAGACTTGCGCTTATGTTTCTTAGTTCAAAGTTTTCATACAATAAAGAAATATATACAGTGACGAGCAAAAGTGAACACTAATGAGAAAATTCTGAGAAAAAGGGTTATAAAATAATAACACATACGTTTTAAATTATTCAAAAATGTATATGTATTTAGAAAACAAAATTTAAGCGTATTAGATGAAAAAATATCTACATTAAACAGCGAGTTACTAGATAACAAATTTTTAAAAGTACTCACTTTAGCACCGCTATTTATTATAGATATATTCCGGCATTAATATTTTGTCTACAAGTCTTTAGTCTTTATCACTGCTTCCATCCTTCGTGACATGCTGTTGACCAATGACTCGCAGTAGTTTACATCAATTTTTGCCCATTCTCTAATTCTTTCCCACAAATTGTCGAGTGAAGTAGGTAGACCGTGATACTTACTATACAATTTTCCTTTTAAATATGCCCAAAAATTCTCTATTGGGTTCAGGTCAGGACTTTGAGCTGGCCAGTCCCTAGTTTTAAATTGTTGA